GCTTATTGTACATATGTATATTCTAATGGCATGGTTAAAGCACCAGTGTGGCTAAGATACCAGTGTGGCTCAGACACCTGAGTAGATGAATTATACTCAAGTAGAATCAATGGCAAATATTCAATGTCTCAATGTCTTAGCCATGCTGGTGTCTTAGCCACATCAGTGTCTTAGCTGCCCAAAGTCCTATATTTTAGCCAATTATTATGTATTAAAGCAATGGAATGTAATTGTACAAAGGCATATTCTGATGTTATGGCTAAGACTTTAAGGTGAAAAAGTGGTATTATAGGCTAATTCCAACCCAATGTTTGTAAGGTCTTATGCCTTAGTGGTATAACGCGCTGTGGTTACTTTCAGGCTGTGGGTTCGATTCCTGCCCGTGCCATTTTTTGGGCTTTTCAGTGTCTTAGCCACTCATGGGCGCTTCTGAGTGGCTAGTCCGGTGTAACTTAATAAGTTCCCGTGTCTAGGCCGCCGAACTGAAACTCTTGCTGATGCTCATGCAAGGCTACTTTTGCCTTTATGACAGTAACGACCTGGACCTGACCGACTTCGCTCCCCTCGGTTTCCACCTTCTCACACCTGCAGAGACCGATCTCGGTCGCACACAGAACAACAAGTCCGGCATAGTTCCTGGGCCGCTTTACGCGGCTACAATCGTCCACGTCTTGCATGCTCGCGGCATCGAAGGCGACGTTGGCTGAAGGGCAGATGAGCTGGAAGTCGCTCGACGCGACGTCCTCGCCAATCGCCTTTTGGATGGCCATGCACTGGACGACGATGTCCCGCGCCCTGTCCGCGTACGCTGCGCCCCACGCTCTGCTGTTGCCGACTCCCCGAGCGCCAGAGAGGCGCAGAACGCCGTGCAGGCAATCGAGAAGATGGGCAGTCGCGTCGGCGACGATATCGGTCGGCACCGTCAGCTGCTTGGCATAGCGCCGAGAAAGGACTCGCCAATGAGCAGAGATTGCCTGAGGTTCTTGAAGCGGCGACGAGGTCAATCGCAATTGAGTATCCTGTTCAATCAAACACTTACCTCGCTCGAATATATTCTTGTGGATGCTTGTCAGCAACGAGTTGAGTAAATCATCCATGGATACGTCCCAGGCGCTGATGATCCAGGCCGCGAGCTCGACTGTAATGGCTTGCAGACCTGTCTGTGCCCACGTTGGGTCCTCTGCATGCGACGACAGATACAGCAGGTTCGCGATCGGCAGCCCGAGCCACCGCTCGGTCTTGCCGTATGTTCCTTCGAGCTCGCTGTATTTGAGCCGTGCATCGCAGAACGCCGTGCGATCGGTGACGAGCGCCGCGAGCTGGAAAATCTGGGCATTCAGGTGCTCCAGCATGCGCTGCACGTCGCCGTGCGAGACGGTGTCGCTCTTATTGAGGAACACCTGTGCGGCGCGGAGCTCGACGGAGCGGGTGGTAAGCAGCGATTCCTTGTTGCTGTAAGCGGTCTGTAGATGCTGTAACTCACGGGTGAGCTCCTCGATCGTCTTTTGCGATGTCTCGAGCTCCTTCCGTGCTTGCGCATAGCCCTTGACACTGCTTTTCAGAACGCTAACTTCGCGATCGCTCGCGTCCTTCAGCTTCGTGTACTCCCCCTTCCACTGCTCCCTCAGCTTCACAGCTTCAGCGCGCTGCCTTTCCGCGCTTTCCCTGGCTGCCCTAAACCCGTCGACTTTGGCAGTCAGCCTGCTGTTCTGCTCCGTGAGGACAGCCCCTTCAGCCTCCAACTTGACGGTGTGCTCGAGAAGATTGTCGTACTTCTCCTCTTTCGTCTTCACCGTACGCTCGAGATCCTCAATTCTCTTCATTGCCTCTTCCAGCTGAGCCCGCAGCGCTTCTATCGCCCTCGGACAAGGCGTCTCGACAGACGACACTGGGACGGGTGGCTTTCCGATCACAGCAGAAGTGATTGCGGTCATGGCGGTACGGAAGAGTGAAATCATGAAGAGCGGGGAGACGAGGTATGTTAACATAGTGCCCAGACTTTGTTTAAGGGACCCCGACGGACTCGTTCCTCGAGGTCCTATGGATTTTCTGCCGCAATTCTGATATCGCATCCGTGAAGAGTCCCAGCGTTACCGCTTATCGAAGTGTCCCACGGAGGATTCGCAGATTCAATGCGGTACTACGTATGTGGATTCCAGCTTTATCCTACTGCTATGCATTTATATTCATTCAAATACCATCGCAGGCGGCATTGACAGTAAACGACAAGTGTTCCTTTCAGAATCTGTGCATCGTGCTGATGCATTTACTGCGGACAAAAGACCTTTCAATGCGATCCGCGTGGCTGTCTCATCAACCTCCGTGCGTGACGATGCGCCATACAGGTATGTTACGTCTTGCCTATGATTCCAACCTCAAGTCATTTATCAGCACTGCAGTAGCGACACACAAACGAGATGATGGATGAGTTCATCACCACTCGGTTTACAAGTCAATCATGACGTTGCGCAAGGTGCGGTCGAAAATGGTGAGCTACACAGATTCTATCATTGTCTGTTCTGCCGTGTTCGCTTCCAAGCACTTTCGACGCTCCGTCAAGGCAGGGTACCGGTAAACTTAGCCGACCCTTCCTTAGTGGATCCGCATCGCGAAGCCTGTGCGAGGATGCGAGCCACGCCGCCTCGCTTCTGAGGTTCTTCGAGTGAGTCACAGACCTGTGATGTGACAACAGTTCTAACAGATAAGACCAGTGTCCCGTCAACGGTTGCCCCACCCTTCGTTCTTTTGACTCACCACAACCCCACCCAGCCAACCCAGAATTATGACCTCGCTGAAACCGTTCTCCGGTCCTTTAAGAAAGCTTGTTCTCGCTTTCGATGTCGGGACCACTTACAGCGGGATTGGATATGCAATTCTGGACCCTGGTGAGGCCCCTAAGATCCAATGCGTCACGCGGTGTGTATTGCTTTTGAACCAAGTTCCTGCATAGTCTGAGATAGAGCATGTACAGCTTCCCCGGTCAAGAGAACGGGGATTTCAAGATCCCGTCCGTCCTGTGGTATACCCAGGAGGGTAAAGTCCGTGCAGCGGGAGTTGAGGCTCGTGACCCAGGGATGACCTTGATTGCGGAGGACGAGGACCTTATTTTTGTGGACTGGTACTTCGGGTTCTTGCTCTCTTAGTCAGAGAATGCTGACTGCGTATTTCCAGGTTTAAGCTCCACCTACGCCCAGGCGCTATGCAGTCAGAGGGTCTCCATGCAGCCGACATCAAGCCTCTTCCCCTTGGAAAGACGGTCATCGAAGTCTTCGGTGATTTTCTCGCCTACCTGTTTAATTGCGCGAAACGGTACATTACAGAGACGCATCCGAGTGGAACGAGCCTGTGAACATCCTTGGAGTCCCGCATTGACTTTGTTTTGAGCCATCCTAACGGATGGGAAGGCTCCCAACAAGGTAAAATGCAGCAAGCCGCTGTCTACGCAGGGCTCATCCCCGACACTTCGGCCGGGCATGCCCGCTTGCACTTCGTGACGGAAGGCGAGGCCAGCTTGCTCTATTGCATGGATAATGGCCTCGCTTCAGATGCCATTCGGGTACGTTTGGCCAGTTGCATGGCTTGCATATATTCTATGATGACCGTGCACCAACATTACGCGTTTTAGGCTGACTCCACAGTTATGATTATTGATGCCGGAGGTGGCACCGTTGACTTGAGCACGTACAAATTTGCTACTATCAATCCGGTGTCAGCCGAAGAGATTGCACCCCCTGACTGTACGCTAGGCATCATTTCAACCGCTATTCAGACTGATGCCCCGCGTTTAGGTATCTTACACGGCTCGACGCGCGTGAATATGCTTGCTAGCGAATTCCTCAAAGGTGGGTGACAAACATTGGACGGCTATTAGCCCGCCATCTCACCTTACACCTAGCGAAACTCTGCAACTCGAAGTACGGGAACGAGGAAGACCTCAAAACTATGCTGGAAAGCTTCGAGAGGTCCACAAAGCCGACGTTTAAGGATCCTTCGGATCGATCTTTCATCAAATTTGGCTCGATGAGAGATCGCGACCCAGACGTCGGGATCCGCGGCGGACAACTTACCTTAGAGGGGTACATATTACTGTTGCATACTTAGGAACTAACGTGCTCACTGACTATCGATATAGAGCTGAGATAGCCAACTTCTTTGAGCCTTCCATCACAGCTATTGCCAATGCAGTTCGTGTACAACGTTCGGCTGCTACAGAGGTGGTGAAGGTCAGATCCCAAAATCGACGCCTGTGGCCTCAGGGTGTGCTAACTTTCTGTCTCCCCAGACCGGCTTCCTTGTCGGCGGCTTTGCTGCCAGTCCCTGGCTGTATGCGCGGCTCAAGGCTGTTTCACGCGATCTCGGCATGGATCTGTCTCGCCCCGATAGTCATGCGTAAGTACGTCTATCACTATACTCTCCAGCCGGCTAGACAGAGCATAATAGCAACAAAGCTGTCGCAGAAGGCGCCGTGTCCTTCTTCCTAACCCACTCCATCGCTGCGCGTATGTCACGGTTGACGTACGGTACCAAGTGCGTGACACGCTACGACCCGAACGACATCGAGCACATTCGGCGCCATCACCGCATATTTACGCGTCCGTCCGGGAACCAGATCGTCCCTGACGTGTTCCGCGCGCTGCTAACAAAGGTTCGCCCATTACGCTGAGTCGTTGTTGAGAGGCCACCCATTATCGTGTATCTCTTCTAGGGCACGAGGCTAACCGAGGACGCTGAGTTCCGCTGCTCGCTCTTCCGCGAAGCTACCGAATCATTCCACCTCGACAATATTTCGGCAATCATCACCGTGTATCGCGGGAAGGACAAGTGCCCGCGCTGGGTGGACACTGAGCCCGGTGCGTCTGTTGCACAACGTGCCCTACCGTGCCACATCTCATCTCCCGCAACAGAGTTCTTCTCGCAGATTTGCACCGTGTATGCGGACACGTCGCGCGTCCTGAAGAAGAAGCGCAATGGCCCGAAAGGTGCGTACTACACCCAGGACTACGACGTCGTCATCCTCTGCGGCGCAACGGAGCTGCAGGCTCAGATTCGCTGGTTCGAAAACGTAAGTCTTTTGACGCAGATATGATCTAGTGGAATGCTGACACTTGGTTATGATCCCAGGGTATGGAAAGGCGGTGAGCATTCAGTGAAATACCTCATCTTCCCTGACTCATGAAACTATCAGTGGCGAGGCTAAGATCGTCTACGACGACGACGCCGAGACCAGCTGCTGAAAATACGATCCTCAACCCTCTCATTTACGTGGTTTGCAACATTATCGCTCGCTGCAATCTGATTCTTGTACATCATATTGCATTTCTGCGTGTTCCATATGTAAATGCTTACACTTGAGTAGTGTGTTCAAGGCTTTCTTACCGAAAGTGCTCCTCAATGAGAGCACTTCCAGTGCAATTGGTGCGGGCTGGGCTTTGCAATTGGCTCGCGACATTGTTGGGGTTATCTACGTATACCCTTCGATATCTGTACACTCTGAACAGTCCTAAATGGTGCGTGACCATGATAGACAGACTACGCTGAGATACGCATGAGTCCATGGCTGCTCAAGCCACAGAATTGATCAGTCCTTAGATGTAAAATGCAGAACATCGAACCCTTCTCCATAGCCCGTCTGCCAATCAAAGTCGCTATGCTGGTTCTCAAATCCAAAGACGTCTAACAGCCTCTGCGCTTCAGGTCCACCGTTGATGACAGGCCTAGCGTCTTCTTTCGTATTTCCCTTCGCGCCCTGCCCGTAGATCTTGCTTTGGTCCGCGGTCAAGAAAGTGCCGATGCGGCGGAATGTCAAGCTGATGCGCTCGCCGTTCTGGAGGCGCTCCTCCGCTGACTTAGTGCTGTCGGGACGCTTGTCAGTGCGCACCGAGTGCAGCCACTTCTTGTTCGTCTCGAGGCCCATGACAAACATGGAGTTATGCGGCAGCGCGATCTTCTCGGAAACACGGCCTTCGTCGTCCGCGCGCGCGGTGTCGCGCTTCGTGCGCAGAGTCATGGCGCGCTGGGCACCAAGGCTGACGTTAAAAATCTTTGAGTCAGGCGCGACATCAATCGTCTTGTCGGAGTGCTCGGAGATGTAGTCCGCGCCGGTGCGGTAGTGCTGGATCAAGACATGATTCACAGGGTGATTCAACGCATTCTCGACATGTCGGCGGATCGCCTCGACCGTCGGGGTAAACGGGAGCAAGGGCGGTGTCTCGTCGGCTGGATGGCGGTAGATCGGGAAGTCCCCGTCCGAAGACACTTCGCCTTGCACCGCTACGAGGCGGGGGACTTCGCCGCCTATGGCGCCGTCAGAACAGAGTCATCAGGACGGGTCAGACACGACGTACCTCGGTGCATCATGTGGTTCCATTCCACTTCATCCCGAAGTCTCAGAAAAGCAGTGTCCACCAAGCCCGGAGGCAGGATATCGAGGACGAGTTCGGTATCGCCTTCCCCCATGCGATCACCGGGCTGGAGCCAGCCCAAATCGATCTGGCGGGGTCGGGGCGGGAACGGAGATTGAGAATGACTCATTGTACAGCGTTCTTTGTTGGCAGAATACCAGTAGAGCGCGACTTTTATGATGCGCAGGGACACGTTGACAGCCTGTGACTCGTTGTTTCTGGTGGCCCGCTTCATCTCCGCCTATTCACCCGTGGCGAGCGGGTCCCGAGCTGGCCCTAATTAACTTTCCTCGCCTTGTCCATATTACTTAACCTGGGCCAGCTCTAGTGTTGCCGCGGATTCGGATTCTATCCGGATAGAATCCGATCCGGCCTGATGGGTCGCCAATCCGTTCAATCCGGATGGGCGCGGATTCAAGCCGGATAACTCGTTGCAACCCACTCGGAGAATGCCGACTCAGGCGCCATCCATCAATTCTAGGTCGACGCGGTCACGCAAGACTGCACGAGAACGCATCGCGTCCATGGTAAGTGTTTCTCGTGTTTTGATTCATTGCCTGTAGCTGTGTTTGCCCCCTTTCACCTCCGTTATTTCCTGAGGTTGTTGCTAGAGTAACATGACAGATCAATATATTTATTTGAAAAAATCACACAAGACCTGATTACTGTACGAGCTACTGCCCAGGGACCAGGGCAGCCGGTATGTTTCTTTCAACTTGAAACAACAAGAGACTCAAGCCACACTTCACAGGTCAATAATCTGGCTCCTGAGTGTGAAGTACACAGTGCACTCTGCGCGTTTTTCTCTCTCTGGTGCTCAGCTATAATACATCAGGTGCAGCTGTGTCAAACAAGCCCACCGGTTCTCATTCTCAGCCTCAAACCCATGCTATGAGCCAGGCCCAGCAACGAGAAGACCCCATTAGTTGTCCCCACCTGCCTGTGACTCCCTACTGGCACCACTCAGCCTATCTGCACCTACTTCAACCTGCCGGTCCACATCTTCACAGTCAGCCCTCTCTTTCTGTTTTAGCTGCACTGACACCTCAGAACCCCGGGCTGGCTGTCTCAGTGTCAGCCCAGTCGCCTCCGCAGCCAGTACAAGCACCGAAGCGGAAACGCGGACGCAGTGAGGGCGCAGCACCGCCGTCAAATCAATGCATCAATCGGCCAGCTGCACAAATGTCTGAGCATCGCACAGAAAAGCAAAGCATATGCTGTCGCAATGGGTGAGCGCCATATTTTTCTTAATGGAAAATTCGTCGTACCAAGCCTTTTTTCAGTTGTACACCCTGGTTTCAAATTTACCTGGATAGACGAGCACTGGACAGCCAAGGAGGCTGCGGATGCCCAGCGCTGGCTTCGAGAAGCGGTGCGTAGATCTCCTCGTTGTACATATACGCTAAACTTACTCCTGGGTGTATTACTTATAAATGCTTGAATCTCGGCGACAGCTTTGTTCTTCACAGTTCAATCTTCCCCCCAGTGGCCCGTCTCCACCATGATCCCAGAGTTTCACAGCTCGCTCACAGGCTCACGGTGTAGGCTGCATCCGCGCATTGCTCCGAGAACTCTCTGATGAGTCTGTAAGCACCTCAGCTACAGCTCAAAGGAGCAGTGTACAGTCCGAGACAGCCACCATCGAGCCAGATGTCAATGATAGTCACATTTTGGGGACAGATTATGCCCGTGCCATTGAGGAAGAGGCAACTTGGTATGAGAAGGGGGGTGCTCTCCCTGACACTGAAACAGGGCCGGGCTTTGATATCTGTCACACCTGGCAGGTACGTCACTGCAGTGCATTATCTTACTGTCGCTCACTACGTTACAGGTCAATCAATATCGCTTTCCTCTGATCTATCACGTCACACTGGATATCCTGCCCGTGCAAGCTTCTGCTGTCCCGTGCGAGCGCGTCTTCTCATCGAGCAAGGAGATGGATACTCTCCGAAGGATTAATTTGTCCCCTGAAGTGATGGGGGGGCTTCAAATTCTGAAGCATTTGTATCTGCGGCAGCGCAGTGAGAGGCGGCAGGCTGGCTTCCGAGGGTGATCTGGCACCGGCAGTCTCAGTAGAACAAAAATTGATAGAATGGTTGCAGAAGGCCATGTGAACGAACTAGAGAAGCTATTAATGAGACTGAATCCTAATAATTTCTAATACATCTGCTACGCTGTCCCCACTTGAGCCTCGCCAGTCTCCGTCTGCTCAGTGAGTACAGTTGCCTACCATATATAGTGTCTTTGTCAGCTTTCCCACAACCTGCCGGATTATCTGGCGGCCAACTCATCATTATCCGCCACGTGCGGATAATGCCGGATTTTGGACCGGTCCAACTCGTGGCTCATCCGCGGCAACACTAGCCAGCTCTCACTCTGCACTCGGCGTGTTCACAGCGCCGGAGGACGATATTGATGATGTCTCTGCTTGCGCGGCTGCTCAGCGCTCAACGCTTCGGCGGCGATTAGATATTGGTCTCCAGCTGACTAGTGGCAACGCTCGGCCGCCTCGCCGCTCTTCGGAAATCAATGATCTTGTATCTCCGAACAATCTGGCCGTGGCGTTCGGCACCTGTACATTTTTGTCATAAGAGGTTGGTCCGTTCCCCCCTTTCACCGAATCTCGTCAGGCTAGAGTGTGGCTCTTTGGCCTATACGACGGCCTTTGTCAATATCTGTGGCAAGCAACTCCGAAGGCCACACGCCACTCCCCTGCGCATATATGGAGACTCCCATGTCGCCCCATCTCCGTTCATCTGTCAGCTTGCAGGTCGTGTCCGGAAGTTCAAGAGGGTCAAAATTAAACAGTCTCAAACTGGCTCCATCCACCCCAGAAGCGTCCGGCTCGCCCTCTTCACCGCGCAGCTCGTTGAAGAGGAAGATTTCGAACATGTCCAGCGATCCCGAACTCGTTCCCGCACACCCTAAGTCCCCGCGGCGGAGCTCGCCATCCAAGAGGTCGCGAGTCCCCCCCTCACCCATCTCAATACCCAGCTTCCCGTTGTCCAACACTATCGGCGATGAGCCCGCTGATCCCCCCTCACCCGTCCCCACCGAGATTATTGACGTCGAGGCGGAGGACTTCGTGAGAACTGCGCAATCCTACGGCGTGAAAGTCCGCGACTACGCCGTCGAGCTACCGACACCACCGCTACCTAAAGTTCCGGAGATGTGGAAAAATTCTTTCTTTACTCTCCTAGCGCACGACATGCACATTCGTCGGCCCAAAGACCCCAGCTTCTTTGTCTCGGGCCGGATTCTGCGACGCCTGCTCGACACTGGTTTCGTGACACAGGAGGAGGCAGACGCGTACTGGACGCGTGAGGACCACAAGTCATTAGAGGAGTACGATAAGAGACCGTACGGTCCCTATCCGTACGTGATAGGCTTCCGGCGGCCCAAACCTACAGCGGCGTATAGGGTCTCTGCACGCAAGGCCGTTTACGGTGAACCTAGGCGAGGGGATATCCCAGACAAACATTTCAAGGTGCCGAATGACGGGACGTGGGGTGGAGACGCGGAATCGCAGAGGTTAGAGAAGCAGGCACGGGACAACCGAATGAAGGCGTTGAGACTTGGTATGCCGGTGCCAGTACTGGGATTGGACCCTTGTCCGCCTCCGAGAGAGCCATCACCAAATCCTGCGCTACCAGCTACACCCATCGCCACACCCCCACTTCTGCCAACATCACTGCCAGAAGATACTGCTACGCTCAGGAGCTCGAGCGGGTTGCTGGGCTCAAGCTCGAGGGCGAATATCTCCACACCGACCACTCCCACAGCACCCCCTACCCCTACGACCCCTACCTCACCCCCCACGGCTGTCGCACCACTCCCATCATCCAGCTCACGCAGACTCGGTCGAACGACGACCATGCAAACGATCATCGTTCGATAGGATACCCATTTCCCTTTAATCGCGCGGAGATGTATGATAGGGAGATAATTTGACGTTTGTATCCATACCACGCACACGTTGGACCTAACTCTTTATTTTCTATTATACGGCTTGCTGTAATGTACACGGTGTTCATGTAGCAGCCGTTGTCCTGGGCCGTTGTTGGAGTGTACACTATATTTTCTAGGTCAGATCGTTGCGCGCGCTTTGCATCTTACCTACCTCCCTCGTACCCCTCTGACAATCGCCTGACAAATCCGCCCGTACTAATCAAAATCCCGTATGTGAACGGTTGCACGGCAAAACGGGTGCTGAATGCGCGCATATACACAGGGAAAGGGCAGAATTAAAGCTTGTTCTCATCAAACCAGGCCACCTTTCGCGCGCAACCAATGTCTACTGATCTTGAGCTTCATATACCCCTCCACGTCAAATACATTCAGTCACTGGGAAAGGTAAGAACACTGAGAGATGTCTTTGCATCATGCTAACACGTCTGCGATTTCGCCAGAGCAAAGATGATCTCATGTACCACCTTACCGCCCATCTGCGTATGAACGCGATCTACTGGGGCCTGACGGCTCTCTGTATCATGAAGCACAAGGATGCGCTGAGTCGAGAGGAGATGATAGAATTTGTAATGAGCTGTTGGGACGACGAGGCAGGTTTGTCTCCGCTTTGCAGCTCGAAGTCGCATACTGAGCGTCCGTCCGTCCGCCCGTAGGCGCATTCGGCGCACACCCGGACCACGACGCACACATACACTCTACGCTGAGTGCGATTCAGATACTCTGCGTGCAAGATGCTATGGACAGACTGGATGTCGACCGGATCACGAAGTGTAAGCACCCCGTGCGCTCGTGCCCAGACTCGTCTCATCGTCGCCCAGTCATCCTGTCGCTCCAGAAGCCCTCGGGAGTGTTTGCTGGCGACAAGTACGGCGAGGTCGACAGCCGCTTTTCCTATATCGCCGTGAACGCCCTCGCTCTCCTTGGCCGGCTGCACGAGCTTGACACTGAGAAGACCGTCGACTACATACGTCGATGCAAGAACTTCGACGGAGGATTTGGCGCGGTCATCGGCGCGGAGAGTCATGCAGCCCAAGGTGGTGCGCTTCATAAAACTCCAACCAAGGCATAATCCTAATTGTTGCAACCTGTCCGACAGTCTTCGTCTGCACTGCTGCGCTGGCGATCCTCGACAGGCTCGACGTAATAGATCAAGACACACTCGCGTGGTGGCTCGCCGAACGTCAACTACCAAGCGGCGGTCTCAATGGACGACCAGAGAAGCTCGAAGATGTACGTTTGTACCCATTCACATGTATGTACACTTGCCAACTGAGCCGGTGCACCGCAGGTCTGCTATAGCTTCTGGGTGCTCTCTGCACTGTCGATCCTCAAGAAGGTCTCGTGGATAGATGCGGACAAGCTGATGCAGTTCATTATCTCGGCCCAGGTATGGTCGCCAATACACTCTTTTCTGTGCATCCAGACTCAGTGATTACAGGATCCGGATAATGGTGGGATTGCAGACCGGCCAGGCAACCAAGCTGACGTGTTCCACACCCAGTTCGGAGTCGCAGGTGCGTGGACCGGCTGTGTTCGATTAAAGCGAGCTTGACATGTCGCAGGACTATCGCTGCTAGGATACCCAGGATTGGATGACCTTGATCCGGTATTTTGCATGCCCGCAAGCGTGATTGAGGCAAGAGGATTGAAGAAGGGCTGGCAAGCACTACCTCGCCAGCCGACGTTGTAGTCTATAGAGATGTACGAAGTAACCCGCTGTTAGGATCCAAAGGAAGCGTTTTTGGTGTGAGATATGAACCTACAATGCCGCAGTATAGCTTACGTTTCATCCTTCCCGGACTTTGCAACCCATCCTACTGACGGCCTTCTCGTATCGGAGACCTCTCTGACATCTTCGGTCACCGGCGGCTTGCCCAGGGCAAACACAGCTCGCCGGATTTCAGAACGTAAAGGTTCTCTGTAAGCGTCCCGAGGCACTGAGGCAGTGTAAACTTAATCACAACTCGAACAATGTGGCAATTGACAACCCGTCCTTTCGACTCTAGCCACCACGACGAATCTTCGACCACCATGCAGGCCCCTCCTCCTCCTTTTGTTTTCGATATAGCCCACGCTGATGTGATCCTCCGCTCGTCAGATAGCAAGGACTTCCCGATGTACAAGGTTGACCTCGCCCGATCCTCGCCTGTCTTCGAGACCATGTTCTCTCTCCCGCAGCCTGACCTCAGCGACTCTCAGTCCGAGCTCGAAAGTGGGCTTCCCATCATAGAGCTCTCAGAGACCGCAGACGTGCTCCAAGTCCTTCTGCGCTTCTACCTCCCGCGTCCTACCCCCGTCTTGAGCGACCTCGCGATGATCGTCCGCATCCTCGAAGGCGCGAGGAAATACGAGATCGATTCCGCGTTCGACGCGTCCTGCAAGGCATTGGAGAACGCAACAAACGGCGAGCCCATCAGAGTGTATGCGATCGCGTGCCATTATGGCCTCGAGCATCTCGCTCGCAGGGCCGCACTGGCTTGCCTTCGTCTTCCGCTCTCCCGGCTCGTAAATGTATCGACCGCGGAAACCGAGTGCATCAGCGGAGAGGAGTTTCGCAGGCTCGTGAAGTATCGAGAGGACTGCCGAGCTGCGGTCGCGGGCTTGAAATGTCTCGCGGCTCCTGACGGGAATAGAGTGCAGTACACGCCCTCCGTACCGTCAGGGCGACACAACCTCTGGTTGTGCTACTGCACCACGAGAGCGCAGTCCGGCTGTCATCATACGATACCTCCGAAATGGTGGGACGACTACAGGAAAGACCTAGTGGCGAAGCTTAGGGACTGTACTTGGGGAGGTACAGTGCAAAGCCAAGACGCCATGGGTGCTTTCCTCGCCAGTGGCGCCTGCCAGACCTGTTGCAAGGTGGCATCCACCCAGATTGCTGGCGCGGCTGCCCACATCTCCTCTGAGATCTCTAAGGAGATCGCCAAGGTTCGTAGCATCGTCACCTGGCGTACCTTGCAGAGACTGACATCAAAGACACATGTTGTAGATAAGCCTTGAATTCGAGATGCATTCAGGCATACGTTCGGCGATTCATGTTACAGGCGAAGGGACTTTCCGTCGACGCATGGGCCGTGCTCTTAAGCGCGTTTGTCTCTACGGTGGTCTGGTACTACTGGGGTGCTCGATTGGAGTCTTTCTGCAGTGGTACAGGACGCCTCCAGCTAGGACTCCTCTAGCTGTGGCGCCACAGATTCGGGCTCGCTGGTTCACGAAACTCTTCAGATAACATGATACAGTACAAGTGATTTGTATAGCTTTACGGCTCCCGGTACTTAATTTCTCACTGAGATTGGTTAAATTGGTTGGAGATTCCTCGCAAAACCGACCGCCTGATATTACCGAATGAGGAAATGGCGCATCTTCTTAGCGCTTCTGAACATAATTTAATCACTTGTTCCTGTTCGCCGCGTCCGGCTGCCTCTTCATGTCCAACTGTCGCTCTCAACCTCAATACATATAGCGTCGGCACAGATCCTAGCAGAATTTTTGCAGATGTTAAAAATCCGAACGCTGACGAGCGAACCCGGGTGCCAACGCACCGCGTGTAGGTACTCGAAGTCACGGTGTACATTGGGCCCTGCGCGTATGGATAGCTCTTCTTCAGTGACGAGCGACACAAATACAAGGCTGTAACGTTGCTGTAACGCTTGGTAAGTAACCAGGCTCTCCTGCCATATTCAACTCAAACGACCACCCTGATACGTTCACAGACGCGTCATTTTGGCTAGTGTATCGAGGGTATCGTCATGGACAGGAAAAGCTCGCAGACTGGTGAGCGAGGTACCTCATTGAGGGAACAAAGGATGCTAGCGTTACTAAGTAACAGATCGCCAATACCATGCTGCAGAATACAAGGCAACGTAACTATAAGGCGACCTGGTGCGTGCTTACATTTCGAAGTTTGATAGCATTCATTTAATCACAGTTGCTCAATTAGTCGACGAATTGGTCGATAGTATAACTACGATCCGCACGAACACGCTCTTCTCAGACGACTACCACAAATCATGCCATACACGAACTCGTACACACCGCCTCCGCTTCCGCCGCCAATTCCAGACTCTGAGCTGCTCGGTCCTGAGCCCTATGACCTCAACTGGGTCTTTCCTATCTACCCAGAAAGCCTCGAAAACGAGCGTGTGAAGCTCGTGCCGCTTATTCCACGTGAGCACGGAGAGCAATTCTACTCCGAGACTACAAAGGACCCACTCTTTTTTCGCTACTACTCCATCGTGTGGCACAACTTGCGAGAATGGCTTACATGGGCCGAATGCTACATGCGACGCAACCCCGCGAACATCTTATTCGCTATCATCGACAAGACCCGACCGGACGATAGCCACCCGCACTGGGGCGGTCGCCTCGCAGGCGCGCTCGGGTTCCTTGACGCGAACGCAAAGGAGCTCAGCGCGGAGATCGCTTACGTCGCTATTCTACCCGCTTTCCGGCGCACGCATGTCGCGAGCAACGCCATCGGCATCCTCATGCGCTACTGCCTCGAGCTCCCGACCGCGAGTCCACCCGGACTTGGCCTCCGCCGCGTGCTGTGGCGTGCGCACCACGAGAATCTGCCGAGTGCGCGCCTTGCGGAGCGGATGGGCTTCAAGCGAGAGGGGCTGTTACGTTGGATGTGGACTGTCGCTGAGGAGCGTGCGCTGGACGGAATTAAGCCGCGTGAGGGAGACAGCCGGCCAAAGAACTATGGGCGGCACACAATCATGCTGGCAACGTGCTGGGACGATTGGGAAGGCGGGGTCAGAGAGATTGTACAGAAGCAGATGGCTAGGCAGGCGTGAAGGAGACTAAGCATGTTTGCGAGGAGATAAACTCGCGCGACATAACGGGCAGGCCTTCTCGCTCTCGTCTGTATTCCGCACGAATCAAGTTGATCTGATCATTCATCTCAAAACACTGTGGTGCCTGCTAAACTTATGCCCTGACGACAAGCCAGGGACGACACGCAAACTTCTTTCAACACCGTCCACGCCGACGTGGCTGCGATGGCGAAGACTCCCCCATCGACCTCTCGGCGCCGTCGCCGTCGCTTGAAACTGTTCCGCAATTTGAAGACCCCATTACTTCCCACGAGCCGGCACGCAAGCTCCCCGTTCTTCACCTAAGCCTTCACCTAACGGAAATTCGAAAATCTCCTGCTCTTCCGCTTCCTTCCCGATGACGGTACGCGTGCAGGAAGGCGCCAGGAAGTACCAGATCGATTTTACAGTGAACATTGCGCGCAAAGCCCTTGAGGGAAGTGCAGTGCTGGAGCCTACCAGGGTGTGTGTAGTCACATACCTCTACGGCCGGCCTGCGAGGCTGCACTAGCTTGCCTCCGCCGTCTCCTTGTCACCCGGCCTCGCATTAGACAGACGGAGCATATAAGCGGCGAGGAGTATCGTCATCTCGTCTAAAGTATAAGGCTATAAGGGACTGTCACAAAACCCGAGAGCATTCCCGTTGTATCGAGCACTGAGGCACAATTTTTGGCAGGGCCGCTGTATTATTGAGGACGGTACCGAGACGCCTTCCAGCACGCTGCTGAGCGTTGAGTGGTGGAGGCTGTGCTTGCCAGAGGTCGTTGGCCTACCGTGCTCTCGGCGCTTTTCGTTCGTAGCTGGCGGCGAGGTGGTCCCTGACTAGATCCCGTTCGCCATAGGACGATTGCGCGATGGCGTGGCATATCTCATGCGAAATCAGCAGGGTGTTTATCTGTCCTAATACAAGCGGCCGACGCGATTTTCTACATAGATGGATGATGTCTGTGGCTCCTCAGGAGCGCGGCTTGCCTTTTGGAGTCGTCCTCGCGGTACCAGCCGTCGTACAGGCCAAGCATTCTATCCTCTTTCTGCAACCACCGTGTCGTCTCCGAACACCGAAGAACTGCTCGCTCCGCCCCCTTTCCAAGGCGTCGCACTCGCGGACATCATCCTGCGCTCTAGCGACGGTAGGGAGTATCGCATGTGCAAAGCGACGCTCGCGCAAGCCTCTCCTGTCTTCGCAGATATGTTCTCGCTCCCCCAGCCCCAAGAGCCAGGCACAGCCGGGAACGAGTGGAAGCTTGGGCTCCCCGTGCTTGTCCTAACCGAGTCCGCAAAGGAGCTCGACGTAATTCTCCAATTCTGCATCCCTCGCACACCCCCCGCGCTGAGCGATTTCACGACTGTCGTGCACGTCCTGGAGAGCGCGAGAAAGTATCAGACGGACTGGGCGCTCGACAGCGCCCGCGCCGCGCTCGTGCGTCTGGCGGAGGACAATTCGGTTAAGGCGTACGCCATCGCATATCGGTACGGCCTTGAGAACGAGGCCTGTGAAGCGGCGCGGTTCTCTCTTCGCTTGTCACTAGATGCTGTCATTAACAACGAGACGGAAGAGCTCAGAGATATTAGCGCAAAGGCTTTCCAGGATCTGTTAGTGTACCGGCGGTCCTGCGCGTCAGCAGTTACCAACCACATCTCATCCTGGGACTGGGTTGAGGCTTGCCGAGAGTGCATGCCGAGTGCCGTCGAGAGCAGCATTTGGGTTTGGGAGAGAAATTGTTGTGGAAACCTAGTTATGCAGACCGACCATACTGGGCGAGGTATTCTTGCTAAGGAGTGGTGGCGCAGGTACATCAAGAACCTAGTGGAGAAGCTGAAGGCATGCACTTGGGAAGGGACTGTGAGGTCAGAGGAAGCTCTAGAACACTATATTCGCTACTCTGGCGGCTGCGGTATCTGCCGTCCCACAGTCGTCGGGCAAATGGCGCATTTTACTTGGAGGACGCAGTTAGAGGTCGTGAGACAAATCACTGAGGTGAGTATATGATACTGCATCACGTTTATCTGGAGGTAGACCCTTACAAATATCTTCTCTCTGTAGACCTCTCTCGTGTTCGACTCGAGCTTGGAATGATAATCAGCTGCTGAACATGTGGAATCACAATATGATCATATGTACTGGCTATACTGCTGCGTATCCGAAATCAATGTGATGGCAATATATTCAGCAGAAGCGTATGATACCCATTATGGCGATATTGCGGTCCATCACATACAGTAAGCTACTCGCCGTCTGCCGCTACAGTGGCGCTAGCGTCCTCCACCACCTCGACTGGGTGCCGTCTCCGCCACTCTGCGAGCCCTTTCTCAAAGGTCCGGTCGTCCATGCCACGCTGCACTAGGCAGAAAGTGACACCTGCATCGTATGTTAATATGTCAGGATCACCGTCTGAACTTGAATCTCTTAGATACTGAAGGACGAAGTGTACATACCGAGGGATTCGACTTCAGCATTGCGTCGTTCATCGTCAAAGAAGAGCTGCAGCGAGTATTCATCTAATGAGCAGTGGAAAGAAGGTGCGCGAAGAACTCGTTTTACAATTTCAGAATACGGTATGCCAGTTTTCTTGTGCAAGCTTTGGAAGTGCGGTATCTTCGAGCCTGTGACCATATCAATATTACATCGCACTCGTACAGAGCAAAAATCACCTGGGTATATCTCTAGGTGGTCAAAGAACCCTATCGCAGGTCTCTGCGAGCCGTGTCTGTCCCCGGCCTGCGGGGGAATTAGCAAGAGCGACAGCGCCTGGCGCGCCCTTGGTATGTTTTTAGTCCAATGCAGGCTGCCAGAGCTGAAAGGCTCACAGCTTTGGCGCATGCGTCCTAGAGCACGCGGCAACTACGACCTCTGCAGCACGTAGACGATGCAGGATTTCGGGAACGTCATGGTAGAACGCGACCTCTTCGCCATGCCTGCATGGAATCTCATCAGCGCGGTTCCCTGAACCCTAGCAGAAGCAGCTTACTTGTCCCGTATGCTGTTGATCGCTTGTCCCTGTCGCTTCAACGGAGCTAAGTGCACCATCACATGTTAGACTCAGTCCCGTCGCGCGAGACAAAGACGCACGCGTCACATGAGTGTCTATCCATAAGTCCCAGAGGGTATAGCTGTGCTAGTCGAATATTCAGTGTCAATGGGTGCCTTGCTTGCTTGTATGCCGTAGGTGCACGCACTCGAGGTCGAAGGCAACAAGTCTGGGGAGGCGGCTGGTCATGGTGGACGGGGACAAGCGATGGTATGTCTAGACGCTCATGCCAGTGGTTAGTATTGTCATCATTGCAATACTCCCTACAGCTGGCCGCTACAACCACACAACAGAGCTTGGATATTCTACTACAGCTCTCACTTTGTGGAATCCGAAGCTTACACACAATGATAATTATCGTGCTGCCAGAATCATACGCATGGTGACACTCTTTGGTGTGCGATAACCGCTCGCCACCTCATTGAAGAGAGCGGACCTCCGTCGCCCATCCGTGCTACTCACGAGTCCCGACCCCGAGGTCTGATTACTGTACACGCGTTTATATCGCGAACAATATGATATAACTAGGAGCTATGCAACCGCAGGTAACGACATGAACAATGTCTCACACCAACTCATACGCGCCGCCACCTCCTGCGCAACCAATCTCAGAATCCGAATTACTCGGGCCTGAGCCCTACGACCTCAACTGGGTCTTCCCCATCCATCCAGAAAGCCTCGAAAGCGAACGTGTTAAACTCGTGCCGCTGGTCCCGCGCGAGCACGGCGAGCACTACTACTCCGAAGCTGCGAAGGACCCGCTCCTCTGGCGCCACTATCCTATTGTGTGGCGCAGCCTGCATGAATGGCTCACTTGGGCCGAGCGTGACGTCCGGCGCAACCCCGCGAACGTCCTCTTCGCGATCATCGATAAGACGCGCCCGGACGGCGGCCATCCGCACTGGGGCGGCAGCCTCGCGGGCGCGCTCGGGCTCTTCAGCACAAGCGCGACAAACCTCTGCACGGAGATCGCGTACATCGCCATCTTGCCCGCGTTCCAGCGCACGCATGTCACGAGCAACGCCATCGGCATCCTGATGCGCTATTGCCTCGAGCTACCTGGCGCGAGCCTGCCCGGACTTGGCCTCCGCCGCGTGCAGTGGTGCGCACACACGAAGAACTTGCCTAGCGCGCGCCTCGCGGAGCGCATGGGCTTCAAGCGCGAGGCGTGGATACGCTGGATGTGGGTCCTTCCTGAGGAGCTCACGCGGGACGGAGAGAAGCCGAGCGAGGAGGACAGGTGGCCAGAGAGGTACGGGCGGCACACGTTGATGTTATCGGCGTGTTGGGACGACTGGCAGGGCGGGGTCAAGGAGATTGTGCAGAGACAGATTAACAGGCTGGCGTGATGGGATTGGAGACTGGCTGTACAATATGTCTAGACCTCATTCCTTGGCTTCACGGACGTCATTCAGCTCGTGTGCGAGCTTGACCACATTGTTCTACAAGGCGTCAACAAAAGCACGGAGTATATGACAGCACACATACACCACTGCGAGAGATGACAACAGCAGGGTCATCTGGGCCTTTCGCGTTACGAGTGACGGTGTTTCCCTATAAATGATTGAGTGGCGTCTTGCTAGGGAATGCTTTGCGGCGTACCTTGTCTGAGGTCACCTCTGCTTTTCCCTCTTCGACAATCTCAGCGACCTTGCCATGGCCCTCGCCTCCGCCCCATCGCCAACTAAGCATTGTTTGCTCAGCCTTGCGAATAAAATAAAAATACTACCAACTTACGACACGTCCTGCCCTTCTTTCAGCTGGTCTGCCATTGTCCGAACTGCGAGAGTCTGTGACGACCTGTGAGTAACGTTCGTGCTAGCTGCCTGGAAGAAGTTCGAGTCCAAGCGTGCGTGTTCAACTTTTCTGAGTTGACCAGACCTTGGCCGTGGCCTCGCTCTCGTCGACGTCATCGCCCCTCTGGTCGCGATCCTCCGCCTGCGAGGCGTCGATCGCGAAAACACGTGATCTTTGAGCGATATAGAGATCTCGCGTCAGTGTGGCGTGAACAACCCAAGTTGTACATGCAAGCTCCCGCTCAGAACGCGCGACAGCTGCGAGTTCGTCACGATATAGTAGATTCGGCAGACCGACTATCGATGCCGTGCGCAGCTATGTATATGTACCGAGGGTGGGTGCTTCGATTGTTCTATAATCTTGGCAAAACGCGAGACGCATGGTGATTATCACGGATTGTTTCGCTATCTCTGTGGCAAAAGCGCCGTTAGACTATGTCGATGAGTAGATGACCACATCAATACATGCAGATGTGCCAGGATGGTAATGCCCTCTCTTCCAGATACCAGTCGTACACGTAGCACACGAGGACTTAACGTTCGACATTAACTACGGCCACGGTCTTTGAATGGTGCGTTGCTTCGCATTGCAGCCGGGTCGCGGAACGCATCACACGGGGCAGCTATCTTATATATCACTTGGTGATCTAGTCGTGCATGGTTAGTGAGACAAGGGACACGTACCAAAACATTTATTGCGCTGTTCCTCGTAGTACGTCATCAGGCCAAGTAGCTTTGTCACCCATAACTGCTGCCGCAGCGGACGAGAACGAGTTTCGAACTGCGATCAGCGGTGCCAGGCGGATAAGCTTGCTTTTGCAGCGAAGATTGAGACACAGCTACCTTGAGGGTGAATATCACGTTCCAGGCTCTTGCTACAGTCGACGATTATAAAATCTGAGGGACGATTCCGTGATTTGAATCGCTGCGCTTGAAACCGCATTAGGTAATTCCGACACAACGCGGGGTGGAGACATAGCACTGATGGGCACCCTGACGACACCTGCAAAGATCAGAGCATCGGGCACTGGGCTGAGGATCGCGGATGCATTCTGTTTTGATTGCAATGGAGGCCGTCCCTCGTAGTCCAGGCCGGAGGACTCCGAGGAGGCCGGAGGCAAGGCAACCTGCGCCCAGAGCGGGGGACCGGCAATTCCAGCAGTGCCTCGAGGCTGGGGCTAGGGAAAAATGCGCCACGAGGTAATTGAAAGGCTTGGGAACCGGGGTAAAGCGTCACGAAGTCTGGTGAACCTTGGTTGAAGGACGTTGCTTACAGAGGTAAGTAAGCTACTGACCGTGGGAAGGCGACCTCATGGTAGAATGAAGGGGCCAAACAAGGAACAAACAACTATGGCTGATTCGTGAGGTGATGGTCTGGACGACCCTGAGAAGACCTGAGCGACGGCGAACAATATCCACCTTCATTCCCGACCACGAACATCGACGACGACGACGACTACGCCTGACGACATCCTTCTGTCCTTTCCTCTGGTTCTGACTCGTTCTTGATCTCTCTTGGCTCTCCAAACTACGCCCGGCGTCATGCCTCCAAAACCTGGCTCGTCACTCTTCCTTGGCCTCGAGCTAGCCACCGACCAGCTGCGCGCTTCCATCGTGGACGAGAGTCTCGAGCTGATGGGCGTGGAGGCGGTCGACTTTGACACTGAGCTGTCCGAATACCAGTAAGTACCTGTCTCATTGCGGCGACTTCGTTCGCACGTCAGGCAACATGCACAGCATCTCAGAAAACTATTGCGATTTGCTGCCGCATGTGTAGGACGCAGGGCGGCATCTTCACGACACCTGGCGAGGCATACACAACGCCTGTTGAGATGTGGGTGAGGGCTTTCGGTGAGTAGCGTTTCGCGGAAGTATTTTTTTTTTGTATCCTTGCATGTGCACGCCTGTTTCCTGCTTTGGCTTTATTGCCGCTCAGATTTTCGCCGTGCCCCTGGTTGATTAATCACTGAAACTTCCCACGCCACCTCACTGTCCACACCTCACGTGTACACAATAATTTCAGGAATACTTCTAGAAACATTTGTAGATTTCTGAGGGCATGCTGTCGAGCAAGACTTGTATATTGACGTGGTTTTCTTCAGATCTGCTGATGGAAAAACTGGGAAAGGGACATGACTTGTCACGAATAAGGGCCATTGGCGGTGCAGCTCAGGTGCGTAGCCCTTCCAAAATATAGCTCAGAGATCTGTTGAAGCGGCTTCTGCAGCAAGGGCTAGTATGGTGGAAGACAACGCCAGTACCTCCATTGCAGTCGTTAGACCCACGTCTACCCTTACACAATCAGCTCACGTCCGCGTTCTCGATGCCCAACTCAGCAGTAGCGCAAGACATGTCAGCTCACACGCACGCACTTGCATTGGAGGCTGCCCTCGGAGGTGCAGAACTGATGGCCGCTCGAGTAGGAACATGTGCTCAGTCAAGTCTCATCGCCGCGCAGTTACTGAAAGTTCGGGAAGCGTGGCCAGATATCTGGAGGAGTACCGGCCGTGTACAGCTGGCAAGTTCATTCATTGCAAGCTTGCTCACTGGTTTATTCGTCGGTATGGGAGAGGCGGAAGCCAGCTCAACTGGTCTTTGGGTCCACTCAACAACGCCGGGACAGCCAAGTCACTGGGACGAGGGTGTTATGGAAATTGTCGGCGGAAACCGAGACGAAGGCCGAAGGATATGGGGCTGGCTGGGTGACGTCGACACTTCAGGCGGTCGGAGACGGATTGGCAACGTGTCTAGGTATCTTGTCGAGCGCTACGGCTTCGACCCTGGTATGTACATATCATCTGCCGAATTGTAGCTGATAGCTAAGTCTGAACCGTAGAAACGATTGTGACGCCTTTTACTTCCGACTACCTTTCTACCTACCTGTCGCTCTGCCCATCCGCATCCGATGCCGTCCTTTCATTCGGCCCCATTGATCTCCTAATGACCCCTGCCCCCAACTACCTCCCTTCCCGGCTGTACAGCTTGTTCCCCCATCCTGCGCAAGATGCCAGCGAAAAACGTCGCTACGTCGCCATGCTCACTAGCCGGTATGTGCGATTCGACTTTAGACCTGCTTTTCACTAAATATCGAACAGAAATGCAGATGTGCCGCGCGCCTTGGTGCGCGATATGTATACCAAGAGCTGGAGCGCATTTGATAGGCTCGTGGCCATCGTACCCCCAGGTGGATCAATCGGGTAAGCTCACTTTTCACCACTTGAAAGCAGCTCGTTAACGCTGTCATAGCCTGGACGATAAGTTATTCAGCTTCTGGCTGTTGCAGGGCGACAGCTACCCTCTGACTAATGTAAAGGGCATCTTCCGGTTTGAGACTGGTATAAAAGTCAACGAATTCCGTGACTTGCGGGCCAATCCTCGATGTTTGCTCGAGAGCCAGGTCCTCTCTTTCCGGGTTCGCTGGTCCCGGATGATTACCTCGGGGGTACTTGGCCCTAACACCGGACGCAGCCGTAATAACGCTACACCTAGTCCCATCGCTCAACAACAGAAGCGTCCCGCTAATACCGCTAATAACATGGGTCTGCCGTTCGACCCTTATGACTATAACCCCCTCCCATCTCGTATCCTCGCCACTGGTGCCGCTGCGAACTTCCCATCCATAGCCAATCTCGTCGGCGACATCCTAAACGCACCGGTGCTCGTGCCAACGACACAGATCGACGCGGCGCAGGTCGTGCCACATCGTAACGCACCAGCAACCGGATTCCCCGCCCGCGCAGCCCTCGGTGGTGCGTACGTTGCACGATGGGTGTGGGGCAAGGAGCGAGGGACGCCTGCGGGCACGGGCCGCGGCGGGTTCGAGGAGGAGATCCGGAGGCTGCTGAGCAAACGGTGGGCCGCAACGGGCGGTGCGCTGATGCGGACGAACGTCAATGCGCCCGTGGCGGGAAGCAAGCCCGGTAGCGGCACGAGTACGCCATACGGGCATGGTTCTCGGTCGGGGCTCGGCTCGAACGTGCTCGTCGAGGTCGACGAAGAGGAGGTAGAGGAGATTGAGCGGCTCAGCGTTCAGAACGGCGCTAGCGCGTTGTACGGGCTCGGCGCCGGCTTCGGAGACGTCCTCGACAGCGCCGGCCGCCTGCGCACGTTCACGAGCTCGACCGCCGGCACGGCGATGAGTGGCTCGACGCTCGACGCGCCCTCGACTGCGTTCACGACCCCCGAGATCGGCTCGTCAGGAAGCCCGAACCCTGCCAACTCGGCCGGTCCGGACGGGCAGCCTGTCTCGGCCACGGCGCTCGTGCCCGTCACCGCCCTGCAGACATCGGATGCGGAGCTCCAGCTTGGTCTCGCGAAGGTTGCTGAGCCGGACGTCGACGCGTTCATGTCGTACGCGTCCATCGTCCCGGAGTACTGCCGCTTGGAAGGTCTCTTGGTGAAGTCCATCGTCTGAAAGGACACCTCTTTCTCCAACGTCGTGATCAACATTGCTGTCAGCCGTTTTAGCTTAGCTTTCGATGTGCTCTGTGATTGTATTCCTGCTCTTGCAACGTACCGAACCCAGTAAGTAGTCGCGGGAGTGAGCGTTGAGGGGAGAGGTTTCGCCAACATTCCCGCACGGGATATACCATCAATCGATCCGTGCTCAAAAGCTTCGTAGTCAAAGGTTATATTACTATGTCGTCTCTCTCAGTCGCAAGGTACAAGTACATCGACAATTATTATTTCCGCTATGCAATGTGCTGTAGATGCAAAATGAGCACGTTATACCTATACCCTCCGATCAGACTAGCTTAGAGCTTTAGATCAAAGCAAACAACAACAGAGCTCTGATATCTTTTTTTTTTCCGCTTGTTTATAAAGGCCCGTAGAACTACTGCTACATGAGGGCCTGCAGAGCTCTGATATCAATGCCGAGCTATCATGATATATACGTGATCGCGAGCTCTTCAAGAGAGTAACGAGCAGAAAGGGCGAGCGGGGGCAGGCACAGAATTTCAATCAACAAAGGTTAGGGCTCGTCGGGACTAAGCCTGTCCGTGTGTCGTGGTACCTAATAGCGGAGTGGGGTCCTGCGAGGTAAACTGGTTGTAGAAGCCATGCTGTAGCCCGCAGACAACGTACATGGCCACCACCGTGTCCATCTCGGTACAGGGTGCCGGTGCGGAACAGTATCGTCGGCGAGATGGACTTGGGAATGTACACCGGAGTCGAGTCTGAACCCGAGGTCCACCTAAAGTTGAGGACCGTTGGCAGCCGCTTTCAGAAAGAAGAATTTTTCGTCCTTCAGACCTGGTGGATGGCATGTGAGACATCACGCAGCAATTGCGCTACAGCAACCTCAATCTGCTCGATGGTCACTTTGCAGCACACTTGACAGGATTCGCTGCCCAGGAAAGCATTTAGGGCAGCCTGCGTTGTTATAATACCGGGCGAAGTGCATTTCTCGAGTTCCGCCTTCAACTCCCGCATGTGCTCACTCCACCACGTCGGGAGGCATGACAAAGATTTAGACAGCACGGGATTGCAGTAGGGGCATTCCCACATGTTGCGCCTTACAGGATACACATTCATCGCCACCCACGGAGTGTTCAAACATTCAGCGAAGTACGCCAAGTTGAGAACAGCGTCCCGGCATTCTGCTCGGTACTGAACGAGACGACGATAGTCCTCGCCTCTGATGCACTGGATTTGCTCGGTGCGGTTCCAGATGAACCGTGAGATCTTGAGAACGGAAGGCGAAGGCTGGCTAATGCAGCCTTCCGACCCAGCGGCTCGAGACTGTAATGGCACGCAATCGCATATACTCGGATCGGCTCGTCCTCAGTCGTCTCCTGCAGGGCCTTGTAAGTGGCATCCGCTGCGAAGTCAATCTCGTATTTCCTGGCACCCTCTAGCACGCGGACCGCCGTTGGGAAGTCGGTAAGGGAAGGGGGAGGGCCTGGCAGATAGAAGCGCAGGAGGACTTGGAGCACCTGCGAGGACTCCGTGAGCTGTACGACAGGTAAGGCTTGTGACGCCTCGTGCGATGTAGTGTTTTCGCTGGGCTGCGGGAGAGTGAACATGGCTTCGAAAACAGGCGACAACCGAGGGAGATCGAGTTTGTACATCGGAAAATCTTTGCCGTTAGAAGAGCGTAGGACTACATCTGCATGGGCTGCATCAAATATAGCTGGACGAGAGGCTGTAGTCGACATTTGCATGATGTGGCCCACTGCTTAGCGATGAAAGTAGGCGATAGAAGGATGAAAACCGGTCAAGCTTGCAAGCCCTCGAGCGTGTGATTAGGTTCATTCATCTGCCAAGAGGCTCCTAGTGTGAGACATCTTCGCTGAGCGTGCGCAGTATCCAGAATTGAGTTTGAAGCTGGCCTGGGCTTGTCTCTTGTTGTGGTTCAAGCACACTCAGACATAGTGAGGCTAGGATTCAATATTCGTACGGCGAGCAGGTCCGAAAGCAAAGGTCGCTCGTACGTCTGAGGTGGCGAGGTCTTCAGCATGGATCCTCTCGTTGATACAACGTCTGCTCACCATCTGCGTGTCTATCGAACATTGTTGACGTATCATACGAATGTATATCCTTTCTAGTCTATGAAATGTGCGCTGTGAATTAAATCTGCAAAGTGCGGTATCATCAGACGCAGCGTTTGCGATTTAAGTGCAAAAGTATCGTACTTTGAGTTATGCGTTCATCAAAACAGTTCTATAGGCACATCGTCTCCTCCGTTGGATTGATGCCGTAGTAGTTCCACATTGAAAGCGCATCGCGGTCAGCCGATACGTCAGTCTTGCGTCCGACAACACCTTGGACCTGATACACGGCTTGCGACTGTATGCTGTGTCAACGAGAGAAGATAGTGCGGACATCCCAACATACAAGACCCAAGGAAAGCTTGATAGCAGGTGCGCCTGGAGCATAATGCTCGAGTTTAGGCGCCGGATGGCTCGGGGACATTTCCTGCTGGATCAGCGTAAGGATATTCCGAGCAGCGACCTCCGCCTGGAGCGGCGTGAGCCGAGATCGCCTTCTCTCATCGGTAGAAAACGCACCTGGTAATGCGCAGTGTGTCCCGCCTTGATCGCGCCGAACGCATCAGCAACGTCGCCAACTGCGAATAAGTGCGGGTACGGGACTTCGACCTCCTCCGGTACTGCAAGGCTGGTGGGAGCAAATGACTCGGCTATGGAAACGCGTGCGAGCACATCCTGCAGCCCTTCTACGGACGCATCCTCTTGTGCTTCCCGCGTCTGCCGGCAGACCGCAACTTGCATTGTCCGGCTCACGCGAACCATGTCCTTCGAGGGGCCGTCAGGAACGATAGCGTCGGGAAGCGCTTCGCGAAGCAGATCCGTTGGGCGTTTGACCGGTGCAGAGGAGCTATGTAGGCGAATGTTAGGCCCTGGTTGTAGGCGAGTAGAACTTATGCCACTCGCCACGACGCCGGTGTGGAGCGCTCTACCACTTCGTGTCCTGGCAATACGCTCTTCCATACCGCTCTCATTGACAACAATCTTGGGCGGAGCTGACAGGTCCAACCGTTCTCCGAGTATCACTTTAATGTTCAACTCGGACAGAGTGGTTATGACTGGCCGTACAGTAAGTAACAAGCGAGACAACACGTGGGGCAAGGACACATACTCTCTTCGTGCATAGCTTCGTCGAAGCGAGGCAGGAGTTGCTTGCGGGAATGAAGCAGTGTGACACGCTTATTAGGCCAGACCTCAGCAGTGTCCGTTGCATACTCTGTATACCCACTATCAGCTGCATCCTGTTATGACACGGGCAATGAACTCACGGATCCCGAGCGCGCCACCACCGACGACTAACACGCTATTTGTGCGCTCAACCATGCCCCGAAAGCGTTTCAGCCAGCTTATGCCCTTCGCTTTGGTCCCATCATGAACGATTGTGTTCTCCTTCTCCGCCTCAGTATCAACAGAGCCCCACACGTTGATAGGAGCAGGCAGATGACTCCCGAGCGCATACACCAAGTAGTCGAAGTGCAATGTCCGGTCATTCTCATTGACTCCGTGTTCTGGGAATGCACACGAGAGCGTTAGGGAGTGCATATCAATGGACGTAACATACGCGTGCAGAAAAGCGTGTCGCTGCATGTCTTCGGGGCAGGACTTGACGAGGAGATTAGTGTAGGGGATGAACGCCTTATGCCCGTGCTCGGGAAGAATAGCAAACCGCGGGAAGACGTATAGATGGTTCATGTGGCTGTTTCTGTCCACTAGTACTATCCGCCAGCCTTCAGGCAGTTCCTTAGACAGAAGTTGAGCAGCACGGTTTCCTGCAGGAGTGAGATGATTTGCGTCAGACCACTGCTTCTTCTACTCACCGCCATAAGAGGCGCCAATAACAGCAACAGTATTCATAAATACCTATTGAATAATGGACGTCGAGCCGAGTTGGTCTGCACTGGGGCGGACAGCGCGACGGAGAGGGAGACGGAGAGGAAGAAGAGCTTCTCGCGATCTTATCTGATAATTCTTCGTTAGATAATCTGATAAGATTATTCTTATTCTCGGCCCATAAATTCCACGATATTCGGCAGACCGAAAGAACAATTCGTCCACGCTTGTCGCGTTCGCGGACGTCGGTGGGGAGTTGCGCGGACGAGTGTTTGATGCATTAGAGCCAGTGAAACAATTTTGAAACACGATAAGTCAAAGTTTCAGTACAGCATGCAAATACAAAGATGCTACGGCTACAGCAAGGTCTAACAACAGGCGAAACTACATTCTTCTGTAGTCCAGATGGTTATGCAGCGGGCTCTATGGTGGGGACGATATGGCGGATAGCCTCTGGAACCAGGTCGGAAGGCAGCCTGGATATCTTGTCTAGCGGCGCTCTCTTCGCCAGCGAGAGCAGGTTAAGACGCAGCTTTCTCAGGAGCGGATCTTCGCCACCGCCATCCTCTTCGCTTTCCACCTTCACAACGCCATCCGACTTGTCCCGTTTGGCTAGCTGCGTGATAAGGTCTGCTGAAAAATTCAGTGCATATTCCAACGTCTCTGCCGTCTCCGCAGGCGGCGCGTCAGCAGCCTGCGCCTGCTCGTGCGACTTGATCGCGAACGCGAGATACTGCATTGCGTTGCTACCCGTGACTCCCTCGCCGAGGGCACGCTCGTGCTCCACCTCGACGCGCTTCTGCTCCTTCTCCCGCTCTTCGCGCTTCTCCTCCATGTACGCCTTGCCCGCCCACTCGTCGTCTGCTTTGAAGAGCTCGTTGGCTTCCTTGATGAGTGCGGCCATATCAAGTGGGTGCGTGTAGATCTTACGCAGCTGGATGAGGACCTTCGCGACCTGGGGCAGCGTGTGCAGCGCGCGATGGACTTCGGCCGCCATGGCAGTATCGCTTAGGGTGGATGGCTCATGCAGCAGTCGCGACGCCTCGCGGACGAGGCGGTGTCGGCCGTCGGTAAGCGGGTCGATGACGGTCTCCTCAACATAGCGCGCGAGCGGCATACCCAGGGCTTCGTACGTGGGCACCTCACTTGATGGCTCCGTTTGCAAGGGAAGCCTGACGAAGTCAGCCAAACTCCGGACGTACGCGAGTCCGTCCACACCGCCGTAGACGACGTCTCTGATGTAGTCTTCCGCAGCCCTGCCGCGTCGCGCCCAATACCCCTGCTCGGTCAGATCGAGGTCGTCGTTTGCCCATGATGGATCCCGCCACGAGAGCCCTTGGTCGATGCTGTGTCGCAGTGCCCCGAATAGCTGTGCCTCAGATCCTAGGTCTGTGCCGACGTTTTGTACGCGATATTCCTGAGCAAGCGTCCCCGCTAGCGTTGCAAACGTGCCATAATCAGTCGAGTGCGGTTCACGCGGCGCTTTCCATGACGGGAGCTCTTCTTCACCTTCACCTTCTCGGTCCTTTCCACGACGCGCAGGCGCACTGCGAACAATGCTCCAGTATCGTCGCCGAGATTTGGTTCCCGACTTGTCGACAGTATGTAACGGAGGCTGGGGCTGGGGCCGATTTCGAGGCAGAGTACTAGGACTGGGAAAATACGGGTCGGATGATGGGTACAATGACGTGAGGAGAGGTTTGGAGGGTGGTTCAGGCAAAAATACAGAGAGAACGGAGAAGGGGTCTTCCACTAAAGGATATGTTAGCTACATCGAACGGCTGAGACGAAGACGAGGATAGGCGAATGTTGTACTCGTATAAGCTGTGACACAGGGTAGGAACTGCCGCCGCAGTGTACACCTGAGACCTCAGGGAGATCAAGCTACCTACAGAGATCAAGAGTCGATCAAGTGGCAGCGATACGATCTGGGAAATGTTGGTCCGAGTACTTGATATCACGGCCTCGACGGGCTGTGAGCACCCATGCTATATCATGGATATCCACATCTTGCAGAACTGCCAAGATTCCGCGAAGCCACCGTCTGCTGTTGCCAAGAATAGGAAGCCAATAAACGGCAGAGCACAATTCCAGCAGTGCAGTATGACTAGACCGAGCGGGTGACCCGATGCACCTTGTACCGACAGTAGACGGCGGCCAATCCACACAGATCATGTGGCTATGCATCTCATAACAGCCAAACGAAAATTAGGCATACGTACTTTGGGTATAGTCTATGCTGCCGTCCGCACTCAACGGAGGACCGCTCTTCTCTACGCGCAGCCGTTCCTTCTTCGTTCGGTATCTTTTGCCTACAATAATATCAGTGGCAGTTCATACGATGCTACCCTGATGGCGCTTGCAGAACCTCGACCAGGATCTGGACAGAACGGCCCATGTGAGACGAAGCTAAATTCACTAAACAAGCACTGTGACGCCGCATGAGAAAACCCGCCGACGCGGCGTAAACGAACGGGACAAAGCTCGAGCCTAGGATCTTTTTATACACTGCCATAGCTTCTGCAAGCGCTTTGGGGAACTTGTTGAAGTTTACGTACCTTTCAGCTTGAGCGATAGCATCAAGTTTGCCCACTCCGAGCCGGGTGAGAACTGACCAACGCCGTCTTTGAAGCCAGGTAGATGCCCATCTGGTTCAAGACTCTCTGAGAGCACGCCTGCCTCCTTCTTGGACTTAGCTCCACGCCGCGGTGCCGGTACTTGCGAAGCCACAGAAGGCGACCTTCCCCCCATACTGCCGTCAATATCCATGGGCGTTCCCCGATCTTCATCGTCGATAACTGGTGTTTGAGATGGTTCTTCGTCCCGCTCTACATCGATGTTCCAATCCGCTTCGTACTCAATGACGCTTGCGGCTGCCTTGTTGATGTGGTCTATGGCGTATGCTTCTATTCGCTCGGCTTCGCTGTGATAAATCGTTCCAAGGGGATTGAATGTCTTGGCATTGGCTGTAACGAGACGTATATCGTTCTGGTAATTTGCAGGTGAGGAGAGGTGTCATGCTGAAGGTCGTGCGTCACACACCGCAAACTCTTCCAGAGATCTATATTTCCCCTTCTGCACTTTCGTCGTGATTGTACCAAAGTCCATGGGGTCCGTAATAACGTCCGAATAACCTGGCACTCGGGCTAAATCGACTGGAGCTAAGAAGAATGCATAGTCGTCCTTTCTGCACACGTGCCGTTAGCAACTAGCCTTCATTGGTACCCCGAAGAACACCACTCACTTCTTAATCTGCGCAATGAGCTTCGTGAGGACCTCCTTGAGCGGTTTGAGTTTGACTGGTCTTGGAACTTTGGAGGCCGTTGCCTCCTGAAAGGCAACGCCCTTCGCCCCTTTTTTCTTGCTTTTCAATGCCCTCACGACACTGAGGGGTGGTAGAATAAGTCGCAGGCCTGTTCTACTGCCTCCATTCTGCGAAATTTCGGGCTGTGAGACGTCGTTTGAAGCAAAGTCGATATCTTCCATGCGTGAGCCTGCAGGGTTGGCGAACGGCGCCCTCCGGCCGTTTAGCTACAATTTGGCCGGCGGCCGGTCCGGCTTTCAATATTTCGGCTCTGTGATAAGCCAGGGCAGATAGGCTTCGGGGAGAACAATAACAAGGTTTATTGATTTTCCGGCAACGCCGGCATCAAAGCGTAAGACGTGCTCGTCGTTGTCTGTCCACTCCGTCGCGGGTCTGTTGACGACCCCGAAGGCCCAACGACGTTTGTCTTACATCACTGCTCGTAGCCGAGGCGACTGCCCTCGGGATTGTCGGAAAGACCGCCGTCGACAAACATTGCCGAACTGTACAGCCTTCCGCTCTTTGCCATCTCATCTGGATGACAGCTCCGGCTTTTGTCGAAGTTGAAACGCCCACAGCTCAGGCTAGTACAAAGACCGACCGCACCAACAATCAAGAGGCTACATCGGGGCCCGCAAAGCTTTCCCTCGAGAGCTACGTCTTTCGTGAGATACCTCTTGTATATGAAAAGCTCGTGCGCAGCCCCACGGACACACTCGACTTGGAGCCCGCACCAATCCCTTCGCTTATTCCCACCCTCGACCATAACCCCTCCGTCACATGCAAGAACACAACCAGGTTCTGCTCAACAAAGAGCTGTTAAATCGTGTCCTTATCTATCTCTCCGGCCGCCTGTTCCACATGTTTCGCCAGACTGTCTACATTGTCGTTCACGGCGGAGCAGTTATGGTTCTTCACCCCTCCCTTTTGTGCCGAGAGAGTACGCGCGATGTCGACTACAATCATAGATCTTTTCAACTCCATTGGGCCAAGCACGGCGTCCAGGATGCTAGTGCGCGGCTAAGCCAGTGCATTGAAGAGACTGCCAAGGCGTTCGGTCTCGGTGCTGATTGGATGAATGCTCACGCTGATGTTGCGTTGCCCATGGCCAGAGGGTAAGTGCGCGCATTTCTTGTCTGCTCCACAGTCGACTGAAACGACCGAGTTCAGTGCCAGTGGCGAGCTTATTGACCCTATCTACAACGATGCAATGACGCGGCAGAACATCGAACTGAACACCGTGTTCACATCGCAAGGTCTCGTTCTAGTCGCTGTGAGCTGGTCGTGGGCAGTGGCCTTAAAACTCATCAGGTATCAGAAAGACGACCCGAACGACATCGCCGCCATCTTGAAGCTCGGCACGCACATGCGGGGCTGTCAATGGACAGTCGAGTTATTCGAAAGCTGGCTCAAAAAGCTCTGCAGTGCCATGCGCTACAAGGACTACCCGCCCTCTGAAACCCACCGGAACCGTATGAAGATGCAGGATGCCATAAGGCGAGCCCAGCAGCTGGATTGGGGTTCGGCAGCGACATCGTACCAGCCTCCGCCGGCTTTGGTTCATTGTTGGTTCCAGCAGCAGGCATCTCAGAAGACAACTGGTCTTGCTCGCTTCTCGACGGCAACTGAGGGCATGATCGAGCACCAGCGAATGCTTAATTCGCAAGAGCGGCTAGAAGCTGCTCGCTTGCGCACTCGCTCATTCTCCGCGCCTTCATCTACCCATGTATCTTCACATTCCCGCTCTTCTTCATCCCACTCGTCATCCCGAGTGGCCATGCCCACGGCACCCGTCCCTTCTGTGCCCGTGCACACAGCAACCTCCGCACCCGTCACACCGGTGTATCACTACTATTACAACCATCCTCCTCAACGGCAGCGCCATATGTCGGTGTCTGTCGCGCCACAGCCGGCCGCGCCGGTCATCACCACCGTTCCATATATCTGTAACACCCAGTCGACGTCTCGCCGCTCCAGTCCGGCTATCCAGCCACCCCCGCCCGCGGCGATGCCCGGGCACACGATTTCGCCGACTCGCCTTGAGAATCTCCCGCCAGGCTTTGTCCCTACTCACTTCATGCCACGACCGCACCATCCAACTGTTCACCGTGTTACCATGGTCGGTTAGCCTTCGTCATCGCTCTTCACCAGGACTTTATACCCCGCATGCAACATTGCAACTTCATCTTTCTGTATTCTTAATGTGCTTCATCCCGATTTCTGGATATCGAACTTTCCTTTACTACTATCTGTTGTCAGGTTATCATGCTTTGCTGCTTCATTTTATTCGCCGCATCTCCTTTTAGACCGCACACGCATCGACGCCTATCGCTCACGCATTTAATGTTTATTCGCACTGACGATCTCTCCACGGTTTGCATAGCCTACAAGTAAAGTTAGGATAATGAATAATGACCCGTCCATCCCGCTATTCGCTAGATAATTGGATATCTGGACTGCCGAGTGGTTGTATGCGGACGCCCCGCTGTGCGTACTGCTGGCGCGTCACAGCCTCAGCATGCGTATCTAGCACATTAGTCCGTCGGGACCAGGGTCGTTGAATACAGACGCAACGTGTATCACGCCACGCCTAATGCATGCTGTCACCCCTAAGGTACCTTCCTACCGACCACCGTCCCAAATCCCGGATAGCACCCTCCGTCGACATTAATTCTAACGCCTGCCGGCCTTCTGAGTCATTTCCGTTGTGCTATGCAGATATCTGGACTACTGAAGGGGCGTTTACATATTAGCAAAGATCTACTAGGACTTACTAGGACTCTCAGGGGCCGAAGCCTTGAGGCGTAGAAGCGCAGGTGGTGCGGCGCCCACTTCTCGGATAGACCACATGGTTCACCTCCAGGCCCGCACCGCCTCACGACAAAGAAGCGTCCGTGACTTGCCACCCGCAAGAACTTCAGGCCAGTCAAGTCAGACGGGCTTTCAGGCCAGAGGTGGACAAGACCAAGGTGAATTCATCAACGCGGAGATACGGCTTGCGGACCAATCACCGACAGCGTGCGCGAGGCCTTTGGATGAACTTTATAATGAATCGTTCTGCAGTGATAAAAGGATAGCCTTCTTGACCTTGCTGCGCGACTGCGAGTGGGCAGGGTGAGTCATCGCCAGTAGATGCGCCCGGGGCCTGGAGGCAGAACTATCACTGGCATCCACGGTTGCCAGGACCGCAGTCCGCGGCTCTCGTTTTCCTCACCGCGTGCGGTAAGTGTCGACGAAGCGGAAAGCATGTTAAGAAAAATAAATATTCTAGATAACAAGTTCGTGGCTACGACGAAGGGTACATCAACTACTGCAAATGGAGCCGGATAGATAGTTAAATAGTACAGTCTAGTATGGCCCATCCTACTCAAGCGCCGAGTGTCGACGTCCTGCGACAGTCAGGGTAAGTGGAAAAAGATCTCGTTTACTGTATACGCTCCCACTGGCGTATGCAAGAATAGCCATTGTAATCTATTACACGACGACGTCAGAGCGTTGCATCTAGCTGGAAGTCTGGAATCACACACCGAAGCTGCTACTGGGGTTGCATGAGCAGTTCTTTCCACTCCAGAGGCCAGCGCCCTTGGGACAATGCATCCACGGGTGGTGTTCATACCCGATCTGATCAAAGAAATGTAGCTGGTCCTTGCGCGCAAAGAGCGCCGCAGCGATGCTGTGCACCGGGGCATCCCCCCACCGCTGACGCGAGAGATGACCGTCAGCCGACGCCCGAGTGCCCTAAAATGCGAAACGTGCACGCACCTCATAATAGAAGCCACCAGTGGAGTCGAGGTACTCGAAGTATTTCGTGTACGCTTCTCCGCGCCAGAGGTCCATGTTTGCGATCTCGAAGTTGCTCCAGACTAGCAACCGCGATCAGTGCCCCGCATGATACGCGTGAGAAGAGATGATGATGACGTACAGTGACACAAGTTGTACGAGTTCCCGCCGTCGTCCGACAAGTACCCCATCGAGTTGTCCTCCGCGACGTACTGCGGGTTCTCGGCGATGAACTCTGCGAGACCGCACATTAGTCTAAGCGCCATAGTAATGGACAGCGTCATGGGCAGGATACGCACCCTTAACGGTGTCCCAAAGCGTGAGGATCGTAGAGTGGAACTCATACGCTGAGATGGTAAAACCATACAGTTTGTCGTTGTTCTCCATGAAGAGGAATGGGTCTTCGTCGATATCGCAGTGGAAATGTACGTCTGGTCTGTAAAGCCGGTGAGATTCAAACTCGAGCGCTCGACATAGGAGCGACGCACTCGACACGCCAGTACCACTTGTACTTCTGGACGATGGGATGCCTGTAGAAGAACTGCAAAGGAGTCAATTGGAAGGAGGAGGGGGGTTCAAGCAGAAGCAGACTTACTCCGGAGTTGAAGCGACACATATTGCGATACGAAACGCTGCCTCCATAAACGATGTTTTCCTGGACCATCTTCTGCCGACCTTGACTCGCTTTCTCCTCGTCAATCCAGTCAGGCTGGTACCAGTGGTCATGGGGAATCAAGCCAAACTCGACGGATCCAGACACAACATTGGACACGCGTGTCTTGAAGTCGTCCGAGAACGGCTGCTCGTTGAGGAACACCCAGGGGTAGTGATGTTTGTGGTTGAAGCGGTCCTCGAGCTCGCGCACGCTTCTGACAGCAGTGTCAGTCTCGCTGTTTCGTGCTAGCATTAAGAGCGTTGCGTTTGCTCTGGGTCCTAATGTGTCGAGATCCAAGTCTAGTTCATCGGGAGACTCATTGAACGATAGCTCAGAGGAGGTGTTCGAGAGGGATGTTGCTCGGCCATAGTCTTCACGGGTGAAGCTGAGTATTGAATACAGACCCAGCTGTGATAGACGTCATGAGCACCCGACGTTTCAATTGAACAGGTGTCGGCGATACTCACTACCACCACGAGGATGAGAATCGCGTACCGAGCGTACCGAGCGGTAGTATTCATCTCGAGGAACTGGGGGACAGATGGGGCCGCTCTAGGTGGTGGTCGTGTCAAGCCTTTCCAACAAAGCAACCAGCTGGGACTCCACTTCCTGAAACAGCGCCTGATTGCACTTGGTTTGGGGGTCCAAAAATCGTGGAAAATCTGATAACGACAACGGTCATCCTCCTCTCTGTTGTAGGGAAGCTGTATGCCCGGTGCGTGCATTGTCCAGCCTGTGTCCTTGGCATCAATGGTTTTCGCGGGGTGGAGGCAGACTGATGGCTGGATGAAAAATCGAATGTTAGGAATGGTATGCCGGTATTATACGGAAAAAAAATCTCCGACCACTAAACCTGATCTTCACTAGTAAAGAATGCGTGGGTACCGTCCTGAGATAGCTGCCGGTGTAACCGGTGCACTGAATGGCTCGAGACGAGCTCAGGTCAAAGCGCCCAGTGAATGTCGATGAGCGCGCGACGAGCTGTGTCCGCACGCATTCGACGTGTCCTCTGCGTCGTGAATATGTTAATAGCGATACCTAGAAGTTGGAATGATAGACATCCTCGGGGCAAATTACAGCACACGGAATTCAAAAACTCCGCAAGCGCTAGTGCGAACGAAGTAGAGCTGAACCCCGTGAGACGCGTCTGTTGAAGTGGTACACCCTAGTGTTCCCTGCAAAACTCTTAGGTTTCTTCCCTACTAGTTAATAACTAGGTAAGTAACATGTCGGCTCTTCCGGTAAGATATAAGCCCTCAGTAAGTCTATCTTCCCTTTCTTTCAAGGCCTACTCATGATAGGAACCGAAGCCCATCTCGCCCCCAACAGTGAAATTCCGGGACATGAAGGCGTCCCTGGGCGCAGCTGTCCACGTCGGTGCAAAACGAAAACACCCGTCTACGGACGACCCGGAGGCCAGCGCTTCGGAGACGGAGAGCGAGGGTGAACTCTTTTCTGAAAAGGAAGAATATACCAGCACTGAGGCCTGAGGCCTGAGGGGCGAACGTGAATCAGACATGGGCGGGTTTCTTGCGCAGCGAGTTGTCGACCTCAAGAAGCCGACCGTCATCCTCGTGACAGATTGTCAACCGCCGCTACTCCCGCAGCACCGCTTCGTCTCATTACCAAAGTTCCGCAGTATACTAACACATCTGCGCCGCATCTGCTAAAGAGTTTGGATCAAAACAATTTAGATTATTGCTGGAAATTTGTGCATTTCTCGTGTCATTAAAACATGGGCGCTTAAATAAGGCAAAAACGTTACTGACATGGAACTAACAGGCAGTAACTAACTGTGAGAATCTTCCCTATGTTACTAACCGGGAAGAAACCCCGAGAGTAGTTTTGCAGGGAACACTAGTACACCCGCCGTCGCCTAAGGCATCTGACCCGCCCGATCTCCTCAATTACGCGTGCCGCACCCTCCTCATTCACTCTCTGTCGCTACAGTTACCACAATTGTCTTGGAGGCTCTGCTTTCAAATAACCAAGGATTATAATACATCTGAGATTCACCCAATACAATCATTTGAAACCTACGGGATGAGTCTCGCAGTGAGAAACACGGGTGGGTCAAATCACCACTTCAGCAGACAAGTTCGCATTAACGCTTGCTAAGTTTTCGAACTCCGTATTCTGTACAGCCTCTGTATCAAGGATTCATACCAGCAGACAACGTTTTGAGACTCCGCAGGTCCAAGATCTGGCGTAGTAGTTGGGGCAGAAGCAGGGGCAGCTTTTGTCTGAGGCCCGACTCCAGAAACAGGCGGAACCATGGTGCTAATGGATGCCGGAGGCTGCTCGGTACGTTGCCATTTGTCGCGGTGCGCGCGAGCTACCTGGCGTTGCAGGTCGCTTTTTGCGAGTTTGCCGACAGGAGCTATTCACAGCCGCTCCAGCGACATCTGCGAAGGGGGCCAGGTCAGTGGGGTGATAGGTTGGTCCGTGTCAGCAACTAATAATCCAACTGGACTGAGCTATGACAACGCTGAGGAGACAGACGAGAGGAATGTGAGTGAGGAAAGACCAGCTCGAGTCTGGCTTGTTATTGAGCAGTACGAGCTCCTTATATACATGTCAGACTGAATATCTAAAATATCCTACAAATATACGGAGGTGTATAGAAAGTGAACGAATACCATGGAATCCGGGAGAACCGTTTGGAATGCGTAATATTCATGACATTACCCCCCCGTCTAGAATCGTGTCCTCACGATTATTTACCTGTCGACCCAAAACCTCCTGAACCTCGTTGAGTCTCTGTTAAACTTGACACCTCCTCGATATCACATGACGCAATGCGTTCCATAATGACCTGTGCGATTCGATTGCCGGCGCGTACCTGGAAGAGTTGATTGGTGGAGTTTATCAACACTACGCGCACTTCTCCGGTGTAATCTCAGTCTACTACTCCAGCGCCGACATCTATCCCTTTGACGGCTAACCCACTTCACGGCGCAATTCGTGCGTAAGTTCCATGGAGGGCG